TAATTAATGCCATAGGTCTGTATGTACCCTTTTGCAATAAGTCTTGCCTTGTACCTTTCTATACTTCCATCTGCCTTATATTTAACTGTGTAAACCCATCTGCATCCAACAGTCTCCTTGCCCTCAAGTAGATCCACAATTTCCCATGTTTGATTCTTAATTAAGGCTTTCATCTCTTCCTGCATAGATGTCTTCCACTCAGGTTTGGAGAGAGTCTCACTGACACCCTTGGGTATAAATACAGAATCAAGAGAGGAAAGGAAATCACGGTAGGAAGGAGAAAGTCCACTATAGGATAAATACTGTGAAATACAATGAGCAGTACACATTCTCTTCCCTTTTCCGAGAGCAATAGGAAGGTCCAGGTTATCTGTAATGGGATTAGTAGAATCAATGGGAATTGAAACAATAGAGGGATCAAGAGGAATACCTGAATCCGTGTCAGCTATATCTAGAGTCTCCAAGGAACCGACAGGAAGTGATGTGAGTTCTGCTGCAGTGGAATCAACCTCCCTGTGAAGTCTCTGTCATGAGTAACGCTGAGAAGCAGGACGCAAGGGAGGTAGTAAGGTAAATGACATAGGAGGATCAGACACAGGAACTGGAACCGGAAGAGGGATAGACTGTTCACTCACTTCCCCAAAACACTCCCCCTGAGAAGGATTCTTCGAGAAGAAGGATGTGGACTCAAAGAAGGTGACATCCATAGTAACATACCGACTCCCAAAGATCGAATCATAGCAACAATACCCTTTCTGATTTTCTGCATATCCAAGGAAGACACACTTCTTTGCCTTCGGATCAAGCTTCGAACAATGAGGACCAAGAATATGTGCAAAGAAAACACACCCAAACACTCTGAGAGGAATATGGAAATGGAACATCTCCCCCTCAAGAAAAAGGAAACTGAATGGGGTGTTGAATCCAAGTATACGGGAGGGCACCCTGTTAATCAAAAAGACTGCTGTGAGAACTGCATCACCCCAAAAATGAACTGGAACTGTAGATGTGATCATCATGCTTCTTGCAATCTCAACAATGTGCCTGTTTTTTCTTTCTGCAACACCATTCTGCTGTGGATTGTAGGAACAGCTGCTCTGATGGACAACACTATATTCTAACAGATACGAAGCAAGATGTTTTTCAAAATATTCCCTGGCATTGTCTGATCTAAACACCTTTATTCATATCCCAAATTGTGTTAGCACCATCTGATGAAACTGCCTTACCAAGGATGGTACCTCATCTCGGGATCTCATTAAGTAAATCCAAGAATATCGAGAAAAATCATCCACAAATAAGAGAAAATATCGATAACTACCCATAGAAAGAACATGATAAGGTCTCCACACATCAGAATGAATAACATTAAAAGGAGATGAACATCTTTTATTAATAGCTTTAAATGAATGTCTACAAAGTTTTCTAAGTTGACAACCTTCACACTTTAGACTTGACAAATTAATAGACTCAAAAAGCTTTGGAAACAAGAAACTCAAAGAAGAAAAAGATAGATAACCTAAGCGATTATGCCAAAGCATAATCTGACTCATAGACCCTGACTCACTATCCCTGCTGACATGATGACCCTGATGAGGAGGAAGCACATCTAGGAGGTAGATTCCATTCACTTCACGACCACTCCCAATCGTCCTCTTTGAATCTAGATCCTGCAAAATACAATGACCAGGAGAAAAATTACTGAATAGTTCAGGTTCTTAGTCAAACTACTAATAGATAACAGGTTAGTACACAATCTGGGAACATGAAGGACAAAGGGAAGGGAAATGGAATCATTAATCTAGACCCCTTCCCAGCAATGGGATCATGAGATCCATCAGCTGTGGAGACTCTGTCTCTACCAGAACAGAGCTAGTAAGAGGAAAAGATAGTGGAACTATGGGTCATGTGCTCTGAGGCTCCAGAATCTATAATCCAAGGAGGCCCCTCCTTACCTGTAGCAGAAACATAATTTGTAGTGGCATGTGAACTACCTGTGTGAGCAAAGGAAGTAGAGCGTGCTCCACCAGAACCACCTGTACCCGGCTGTCCACCTGTTATTAAATTAGAACTAACTGTATCCCACTGATTTAGGAACTGCCCATATCTCTCAAGTTTGGCCCTCACTACAGCAACCGCAACAGACTCTAGAGTAGGTGCAATGGGAGGGGCCGGTATGTCACCAGTGATTGCCATGTGAGCATTTCCCTTCTTGTTTTTGAGTCTATTTGGCACCAGATGAGGATGAAGTTTCCATCAAGTATCTCTTGTGTGTTTAGTCTTCTTACAGTAGTCACAAATCAAATCTTTTTTGTCTTCCTTCTTGATTTCATTGCCACCCCAGTCTCTACTTTGTTTAGGTCTCACAATGCTAACCATGGCTGATTGATCAAAACCAGAATTTTTCATCATCACATTTCTTCTGCTCTCTTCCCCTGACACAAAGGCATATGCTTGGGAGAGAGTAACACTTTCCCCGAAAAGAATGTGTTGTTTTGCAATATCATACTCGGGATTAAGGCCAGCAAGAAATTCAAAAACCCTATACTTCTCTAGGAGCTTCTGATAGGCAGTTGCATCCTTAGTGGTTTCCCAAACAACTGTCTCCAGATGGTCAATCTTCTGCCAAAGGGTTTTAAGGGCTGAAAAGTAAACAGTAATAGGTCTATCTCCCTGCCTTGTAGCAATAATCTGATTTCTCAACTGATAAGTCCTAGCAACATTCTCCCTCTGTGAATATGTTTATGCAACCCCATCCCATATTTCCTTAGTTGTATTTGCCCACAAAAAAAAAAATTCTTATATGGGGCAGCATCGAATTACACAGCCAAATAATCACCATATAGTTTTCCTGTACCCACCGGGAGCTGTTAGTTTCGGGTTTCACTTCTTCACCAATGATATACCCTAACTTCCCACGAGCACCAAGGGCCACCTTTGCAGATTGTGACCATTCTAAGTAATTTGAACCATCCAACTTAACTGTAGTAATGGTTCCAGCCACGAAAAGGTCTCCGACACCTCCTCCCACTGGTCCCATTTCACTCCCAAGCTTGTTTTCAACTCCGTACCTTCCATAATTATCAACAAGGGGGTAGAAGGTTACTGTAATATGCAAGAATATCAAATAAATCACTTTTGGTACCAACAACACCCTTATGGTGCCCTAGATGGTTCTCTCACAAAAGATTCCTTTTCTGCGGGACGGGAGAAGAGAGAGAAGAGGCAGCCACTCTCTCCAGAAACCTCCAAAACAGGTAGAACTTGAACCACCTCCCTCAGAAAACTCCAAGGAACCCTAAAAAATTAGGGCGCCACTTCCTGGGTCAAAATTGAAGAATCCAACAAAAACAAGAGTCTCTCACTTTCTCCAGTTTCTCCTGATTTTGATGGGAAACCTAAACCAGCTACAGAGCAAACAGATCCACCAAAAAATCCAAAAATGGGGCTTATCCGAGATCTTCGATCAGCCTCTTAAATCACCATGCAGTCGGCCGATCTAGGGCTGCATGATAAAACAACTCAAGGAACCTTCGGCCTGCTCTGATACCAAGTAGAAAGCACTGATCACAGTTTTGGATAAATTCCTTGTGAAGAGAAAGAAGAAGAAGGTGAAAAGTTTTAGCAGTAGAGAAGGAAAGAAGAGAAGAAAAGGAGTAGGATGCCAACCAGAATTGAATTAGTTCTGGCCGCCAACCTCTCTTTGTATTATATACTCAACTTAAAAGAATGAGAGATTACAAGAATGCCCTTAGTAGGGCGGCTACTTAAGTAGCTGAACAGTTACAACTTAAAAACATAAACTAATGGGCCTAAAGCCCAACAACTTCCTAACTTAACAACTTAAAAATAATAAATAAATAACTGGGCCCAATAACTAGAAATCGGCCCAACTCAATAGATTTAAAAGGCATGCCTAGGTGAACAGGCGAGGCGCATTTTGGGGTATACGCCTCGCCCAAGTCCTAGGCGCACCCCTTTCAAAGCCTTGCGCCTCATCCCAGGCGTATGCCTTTTAAAAATTTTGTGCTTTTTGCTTTTTTTTTGAGTCTAACGGCTCCAAGAACCCCCTATTTGCTAATGTTGTTCATTCATTCATTGCAATAAAATATCTTCTTAAAAGGCAATGAAAGATAAAATCATTATTTTTTATGTGAGAAATAAGAATTTCAGACCCTAACATAGACTTGTTCGGGCTTGCCTCGAGGAGCGTGGTACAAAGGCGACTCATAGAATCAATAATGCACTATGTTTTACATCACATTAGCTACTTGAAGCAATGCAATTAAGGAAAAGAAGAGATTGTGGGATTTGAATACGCTTTACATGTTATGTTTATGTATTTTAATTTTAGATAATAGGCTTTTTAAAACATTTATTTTAAAACTTAAGTTTATATTTTTATTAACATTATGTTAAATATTTTTTGAACTTTTCGCATTTTTTAAAAAAATTTTGGCATTTTTTTGAATTTTCTGATTTTTTTTTTGTAATTTTTCACCTTGCTTAAAAAGGTGTACACCTTGCCTTGCGCCTTGCACCTCAGGCGTAAACTTTGGCCCTTGCGCTTTTTTTTTTGTGCCTTGTGCTTTTAAAACACTTGTTTTGGGTTACCTTGTAATTGTGCTTCAGGCTTGTGTATGTTTAGTGTTTATGTTTCAGTCCTTGGAGGAGGTAACACCTTGTGCCTCCTCCTAGGCTGACTGTACTTTCTTTATTTGAATTAGTAAAACTACTCACTTATAAAAAAAAAAGCACACATGCCTTGGAAACATCCAATACGCAAGGTTCATGCATATCAGGGTGTATCAATATTTAAAACCTTGGGGGAGATGACTGATATTGCACCCCAGCTTCATGGAAGATCATCAACAGAAAAATTTTTGAGAGCTTCATTGTCTTGATCCAGTTTACAGCCTTGATTTGTATACTAATACCCTTAATGGAGGAAAAAAAAGTAAAGGGCGATAAGTAATTTGTTGTATTTGTGTGGCTTCCAGGTTACGTCTTGCATTCCTTCCTATACTATTGCATCTTCATCAAGGCCAACTTGATTTTCTTGTTAGCTTCTTTGGAGGGAAAGAATCAAAAGTTGACCAGTCATTGAGTTCTCATGATTTGGATGGGTCAAGTATGGTGCCTGTTGGTAACTTTGGAGAGCATACAATTGCAGAGGAGGCATTGCTCCCTTATTTCCAGGCAAGTGGTTTAATCCTCTTTGAGCTTCTATCATGCAATGCAATGAAGTCCTTTTTTGATGGATTAGAAACAAGATCAATATAGTGCATTAAAAGATAGTAAAAAGGTGTGAGCATTAAAAGATAAAATCTTATGATTTCTTTTTATCTGTTACCATACATTATTATTTTCTTTCCTGGATTAAGCAGTGGCTTAGACTCCCACTGTAGAATAAATTATGATAATTATTCCCTCTAAGTTCTTAAGTTGTTAAACTTTTTATGCTGTGCACTGAAGACTTTCCTGTTTTGTATCAGAAATTTGACATATGTCCTGTTCTCATTCGGGTGGATTACAGTCCTTGTCGTGTTGATCTTGCAGCACTACGAGGAGGGAAATATGTAGAACTTGTTAATCTTGTGCCTTGGAAGGTAAAATACTCATTCACAGTTGTGACATTGGAAACAATAATTCTTATGGCCAGTAAAATAGTTCTATAGCATGGTTTCCTTTTGATGAATTCATATTATGGCCTAATAGTGAGATTATTAGATTGTTGTATCTGTGTGCCATTGTTGTATGCATGGTCCACAATTTTGAGATTGATGGATGTTTCACCATGCAAAATTTGGTAAATTTTGGGAATATTTCATAACTTCTCTGAGATATTTGGAAAATCTAAAGAAATTAGGAAGATTTAATAAAAACATGGAGTTCATCAAAGAAACTTCATGGATTGTCAGAAGAAGTATAATTACACAATGAAAAGCCATAGCAAGCAACGGTTTGTATCAAGTAAAACAAGATTAAGACACTTCAAAGGGTATCTCTTTTAGTCTTGTAGCCATTTTCTCTTTGTCTTCTTATGTTACCTTTTTTTTATATTGAGAATCCCTTTTTTTTCAGTTGTGTGTGTATTTCTTTTTTTCTTTCTTTCTTTCATTTTTTTTTTTAACTATGATGGATTCAGAAGGGAATGACATTTGGAATAGTAAGTTAATCATCAAAACCATGAATTTCCATTCGTTTTTTTTTTTCAGGAAAAGATTTCCAAAAAATTTCAATGATTTTCTTGAAATATGAAAAAGTTTCAATGATATTCTAAATTCTAAATCTCAGATGTTTAATTTATCAATGAAGTTCAATATATCCTTGATATATTAACAATATTATCAGAGATATGAGAAAAAATTTGGAAGGGGAAGTGGAATGGTAGGAGTTGAAGCCTTCCTCCATCTTGCTTAAATTAAAGGGGAGGTAGCATCTTGCCATCTCATACCTCTTCTTGAACTGCCTGTATTTCAGTTTTTAATCTTTATAAATAAGTAGATAAAAATTAAAATTTGAGGCCATTTTTTGATAAAAATAGTGGCTCCTTGGAACACATTGATCTTGAAAAGCTACCCAAAATAAAAAAAGATCACCCCAACCGGACAACCAAGTACAAAGTTATGGCCTCTAGAAAACCCATGACCTGGTGACCGGGTCAAGCAGATCAATGGTTCAATTGCCTGGGTAGGATGGTGAATGTGACCAGGTGATGATTTGAATAGTTCAACTGTCCAGGTCATTGGCAAGTTGAAAACATTGCTTATTCTGACCACATGGCAAATGATTTGGGCTCAAGTTTGAACCATTAATAAAGGATGATGAGAAAGGATTATTATTTGGTGTGATGGTAAAATCTTGGGCTGGTGAGCATGACAATGTGATTTCAAGTCTGAGAGTAGCCACTTTGTGCAAAAAAAAAGTCAAAGGTTAGGACTGTATCCAGTTTATCCCACCGAAGACCCTAGATAGCTGGAACCAACATTGGGTAATGGCCCTAATAGAGGAGAGCAAGAGGAATATGTGGAGCCATTTTGAGCCCCAAGTCAAAATTTCCACGTGGAAGATTCCTTTGTCATTCAGCCTTCTTCACAATCCAACTAGCTGACTAACTCCCATTGTATATATGTATACCTATTTTACTTAGAAAATGATCATCACCAGCATCATTTTCCTTATTACTCTTAAGCGGTGCTGGCACAACATATCTTGTTATTCAATTTCAGTCAATCAAAGTCCATATGATCTATTAAAGAACAATCAAACTAGTCTTTCTTGAATACCTGAACCAATTATCTTGGTCACGAGCTGAACTTAGGCATTCCCATAGCTTGTGCTAAAGTATTGAAATACCCACAATCTTGTCCTGAATATATATTTGCATTTGTCAAACAAGTCTCATATTCTAAAACCACTCACAATCCATTAGATTTAGCAATCAATCTAATGACCAATAGTGGTGTGTGCAAGTGTATTTGCTGGCAAGATTATCAAATTTTCATGTTTCTGGGGAAAGTGAATCAAGTTTCATCTGATGACAACTTTCATAACTTGGTCAGAAAGAAGTAAAAAATATTTTTGTTCCTATGCTTCAATGAGGGAAAACAAATTAGCACAAGGAACAATCCCTTCCATTTCACTCAAAACTGGTGGTGAACTGGTTGCAAAATAAAGAGCCAAGTCATTGGATGTATTATATCTGGAGGTGAGAATACAGTGGGTGAAGAGAAGTGCAAATTCATTTGAAGATACACTTTGCTAGACAAGGGACAGGAAGAACTCAACTCTTTTTGCTCAGCTGTAATTAAAGATTTTTTGAAGTAATTGTGTTTGGGGAGAGATAAGAGGGGTTATTTCTCACTGTTCATTTAATGCGTTCATCTTAATGTTCCTTTCTTAATGTCTTTTCAATGAAAAGTTTCAGTTATTGATAAAGACATTCTTAATGTCTTTTTAATGAAAAGTTTCAGTTATTGATAAAAAAATCCCTATCTTAATGTACCTTTCTTAACACAAAATTTGCTTTCAATGATTGTATTGTATCTTCTTTATTTTAATCATTAATGAAGTAATTCAGTTATTCATAGAAAAAAGACGACCAAATTTATTCTGAATCAATGGTATCAAGGTGTTAGTCAAGAGATCATAATTCTCCTTTTACCAATTAATCCAGATTAGATTGTGTGAATATGATGATTCATAGTTCATAAAGAAATAACAGCAATAACTTATATGGTGGTATAAACTAAAGTAAGATAAGCTACTTGTATTTTTTTAATAGGTACATCTTGTATGCTTTTCCCTTCTTTTTAATGCATTTGATTTTAGGGTGGTTATTTAATGATAAAAAAAGTGGGAGTTATTATACAGGAATGTATTCTTGTCCTTCAAACATGTAATTGTTTGACTGATGGATAGGGGTGTGGCCCCTTATATGAAAAGTCGGATGTGCCAAAATCACTTCCCTAATTTTATTATATAATATTGGAGAATGGCATAGTTGATGCTTAGTTGTATTTAGTAATACTTGGTATTTGAATGACAAAAGGAACTACTTTCTAAACTACAAAACAAGTTGATGCAGAACCCAAGGCCGAGAAGAGAAAATCAGATATCATGTTTCTTAAAGAACACTAAATGGGTTTTACTATGGGCTAGTTCCAATAGGCCTGTACTAACCAAGTCCAATACTATGGTCTTTAGCCACCTACCCAGCCACCAAAATGAGTACTGGATTCCACATGATATGCTTTATATTATTTTTTTTTGGAAGAGGTAAAGTAAAATTTCATTAATCACAAAAGAGATATACAAGAATAACTGCCCGCTGTACAAACGTCTGTACAAATAAACAAACTTAAGAGCCCTCAAAAAAATTAACCATCACAAAAGAACCCAACACATCCCCTTTGAACAACACATTTGTACTCAGCCACCCTCTCAAGTCATCTACGGTTGAATTTATCACCTTTTCTACTTGAACTGCTTTTGATCAAATATCTTCCTATTTCTCTCTCTCCAATTGGACCACAGGATTGCTAAAGGGATTGCACTCCACAAGATCCTTCCCTTTTTGCTCATGCCACCAACTTTCCAGCTCTCAAGGGACTTGACAGAGCTAGGCATGCAGGAGGAATAATGAATGGCCTTGACAAAATGAGTCCAGATTCTTGAAGAGAACTCACAGTGGAGAAAAAGATGGCTGATAGTCTCATTACCCTTACTGCACAGGACACAAGAGACATCTAGTAACACCAACCCTTTTCTAACCAGCATAGTCTTTGTCAAACACTTTTTCCCAACCACTACCCAAAGTAACATAAAACTTCACTTTAGAGGGGGCCAGACCACCCCAGACTATTTGACTGGGGAAGGAGCCAGGAAGAGTAGGATCTAAACCAGAATATGAGGACTTAACGGAGAAGGATTCAGACTTGGACCAACCCCAAAAGTGCTGGTCCAGGGCCAGAGGGTTTAAACTTTGCCTTGCAGTCTTGACAGCAGCTCTGCCACCTGAGAAACCTGCCTCTTTCATTAATCGCATAAGAGATATACAAGAATAACTGCCACATTATATGCTTTATACTCTCTCTCTCTCTCTCTCTCATCTGTTTCAGATTTGGTCTGTATCAGATGCTCTTTCTCACCACATGACATTGATGGATGGAAAGATGATCTTAATCCATGTTGGAAAGGGAGAAAAGTCTTCATCTTCTTACAAGAGTTAGCAGGCAGCAAAACCTTCAAGAACATGGTCATGACTCATTAGAGACATAGGTTTATTGGCAGGTACTCAAATTTTGCAGAGGATGTGTACTGATTCATAGTAGAAGGAAGTTCAGCAGTGCTATTAGATGAAATCAAAGTATTGGCTCTGGGACTTGGAAATTTGGTCACTACATGAATGAGATAAGGGACATTTCCCCTTTTTGCCTCCAAATGCAAGCTATCTTTTCTCAAAAAAAAAAAGAAAGATAAGGTAGATCTTTAGTTAGATAATTGCTAATATGAGATGGAATGAGGGATTAAACTCTATTGCTAATGGCGGGTTAACTAGATCCCAGTCAGCAAGGGCTTTTCATATAGTGAAATTCATGCCTATATGGTTCTTTGGCAGTGATACGTGATGTTTCTATGTCCTCTCATGTAAACTGTGGTTTTAACATGTTTCTTGTGGCCCCTCCGCCTGGTCTTTACAGATGGATCCATAACTAATTTGTAATTCATTTCACATGATATCTTTAATTAAAGCAGTCCACCAACAGCTTCTTTCTGCTGCTTGGATAGTAATTGTGGGCACTAATAGGTCCTTATGTGATTAAGGCTTCAGCATCTGTGAGTGGAGAATACTTTTGATACTTGATGAATTTTGATGTAGGGAATTGAGTTACAGCTCAAACATGTACATGCTGTTGGTGTCTATGGTTGGAGCAGTGTCTGTGAAACAATAGCCGGGGCATGGTTAGAAGATATTTCTCAAACTCAGGTTTTCTTATACCTTTCCCTGTTGATAATGCTGAAAGTTCCATTAGTTGTTTGATACTAATGAACTATGCAATCTAAAATGTAGGTTCACAAATTGTTGAAAGGCCTTCCTACCGTACGATCATTGTTTGCTGTTGGTTCTGGTGCTGCTAAGCTGGTTTCTTTACCAGTCAAGAATTATAGGAAGGATCACAGACTGCTCAAGGGGGTGCAAAGAGGTGGTTAACATTTTCACACATGTACTTATCATCACAATTTTGTTTTGCTTTTCATGCAACCTTAGAGCTTCTGTACTTTCATATGTGATGACATGCTTCAAATGGATGGGTAGATCTTTTTTTCCTCTTTTGAAAAGGTAATGTAACATGCAAGTTTTGATTTATTGATCTGGTAGCACGTAACTGGGTCATAAATGATGATAATATGTTAAGGCAGTGTCTTCGATTCCCCTCTCCCCATACACAAAAAGAGAAGCGTAAATGGAAAGAAGATGATAAATGGCATATCGTATTGTTTTGGTAGCACCCAGATACGCCTAAATAAAAWGGTATTTTGGGTTTTGAGCAATTTCAGAGGGTGACCAGGCCTAAAACTGACCCCCCCCCTGTAGGCTTTTGAAAAAAAAGCACGCATGCCTTGGAAATACCCGATACACAAGGTTCATGCATATCAGGTGTATCGATATTTAAAAACTTGCATCCATGTACAGATTTTAGGAATAACCTGATGTCATATCATCATCATTATCACATTTTTCTGTTTTTTTTTTTTTTTTTGTTCAGTGATAAAGTTCTTTTCTTATCAGCAATGTTAAAATGAGATTTTATTGAGTAAAGAGAGAAAAGATCTTCATTCCAGACAGTTAGAATGAATGAAGGTATAACATGGCCTGTATCTGACAAAAAATAACTAAACTTGCTGTTCAAGTAACCAATTTTCCATGTAGCTAGAAATTCCAATCCAAGGCCTGATCCTGATGCCCCCAGTTTAAAACATTGCTGTTGACCCCTGCCCTTGGTAAAGAATCCATGATACTGTTGCAGGATCTGGGGACCCAACCGATCAAGTAATTCAAGTGGATTCCCAACATCTTTGCTTCTCTTACCATGCCCAAGGGGCCATGGTCCCTCTAATGTTGAGGATGGTCATCCCAAAAGCAGTTAGCTACAATTATCATACCTATCTATCCTGATGAATAGACCATTTAAGTCGGCCATCTCTCAATAGTAAACACATTTGCAGGTACTTTAGCAAAGCAGGGGGTGTCCAGGGAGCAATTTTTTGGGGCCAATTAATACTTATAAGGTGATTGTGGGGTTTGGCTCTGGTTGAGAGCTGTGTAGTGCTAATTAAATCCTTATTTTTTGAATCAATACAACTCATCAGTCACCAATCAAAAAGTGATAATAACTAAGGGCGTAAAGAAGTTAACCAACACCTTAATTGGTGGTAGGTACTTAGGCTACAAAGTAGAGCTATGACATGTTTTAGATTTTCTTTCGATGTAATGTGTAATGTAATTAAATACCATGATGTTCTTCCAAAATGCTTTTCTTTGTCTTACTGATTTCATTCATGTGCTCATTGATATTGCTTTTCTTGGTCCATGAAATATGATGAAAATGAGAAGTAATACTGATACAAATATATCCATGTCAGGTGCAATTGCATTTCTTAGGAGTATTTCACTTGAAGCAGTTGGATTGGGGGTACATTTGGCAGCTGGAGCTCATGACATTCTACTTCAAACAGAATATATTCTTGCAAGCATTCCACCTTCTCCACCATGGTCCATTAGAAGCAGAGCAAGGACAAATGTTAGGTCAAATCAACCCAAGGATGCCCAACAAGGAATCCGGCAGGTATCCATTTCCAATGTCCTTTAATTTGTGTTTGCTCCTGTCATTTTGGGTTTCAAATATGAATTTCAACATATTAGTAGGATTTGTAGCATTCAGCTAGGTTATCATGTGGGATCAATTAAAAAAATACAAAGGCCAATGATTTCAATCTCATCTTACCGATGATCATGTATGCACCAGTATAATTCACACATGCTCCCCTCCAGAAGAAAGTAAATCTATATAACAAGACACTTCACTATACTGAGACTGAGCATTCTGCATCATTAGAAACTATATTATAATCTATTCATGTACCAATAAGGAACCTGCTCCATCCACAATGATGTCTTGATCTATCTAGCTATTGGCCTCTATTATATTTTTATTCTTTAAACTATTAAAGTCACTAATGTCTTGATCTACATCTACGGCGCTTTATGAGTGGGCATTGACAATAAATGACTTAAATCTGGTTTACAGGCTTACGAGTGCCTCAGTGATGGCCTGGAGAAGACAGCTTCAGCTCTTGTTGGAACTCCCATGAAGACGTACCAGCGTGGTGCTGGTGCTGCATCTGCTTTGGCCACTGCTGTATGTGCTGCCCCTGCAGCTGCAATAGCTCCTGCCTCTGCTGCTGCTCGTGCTGTCCATTGTGCACTCCTTGGAGTCAGAAACAGGTCAGGCTTGTTTTCTTGACCTGATTTTATCCATATTTGTTTTTATAGGATCAATGTTTAGAATCATAGTAACAATTGTATCCACATCTGCAGCCTTGATCCTGAACATAAGAAAGAATCAATGGAGAAATACTTGGGTCCCAGTCAACCTCAAGATCATAGTTAATGGTGTTCTTGCTGCTTTTACCTGACTTAATATTGTACTTGAAAGAGGCTTTGTATTGATACAGGTGACTGGAACAATATACAGATTACTGAAGCGTCATGGTGGCTAGTACCAACACCTTTGTACCATGTAAGTTTGAATTACTCAAATCATGTCTTAGATCTTGTTTCTAAAGCTTAATGGGGAGATGACACTTGGACATAATCTTGGTGCTTGTGTACACAAGGGGTTGCTTTTTGGCTATTGGTGTTCCATTGTCAATTTCAGGCCTCTCACCTCTCCATGAAATCTAATAGTTGATGACGTTTTCTGGATGCAGGTATATATTCAATTGAACAGATTTTTCCCTTGATTCAATAGATGTTATATTTGTACAGTGTAAATAGTAAATGTGTTATATGGTTTGATCCCGTGCTGGCGAGCCTTCTTGTAATTGTGATGATAGGCTTAGATCAGTCAAATGTGTATGTAATATTTTACTAAATTATATTCTTTGAAAGCAAGCTTTCATTTGTTGAATTTGTGATGCCTTTCCCTACTAATATAATACAACCAGTGTTATGCACATTTTTTGTGAGGTTGTTACTGGCAAGGTTCAAAGTATCAATACGGCCCGATACATATCGTATTGGGAGCTTCCCGATACACCTCTACAGAGGGTGTTTCGACCAGTTCAGGGGTTGATGAACCTTAAATCTAAAAAATTTAAAAAAAAAAGCTATTGATACTGCCCAAGATGCCTCTACCGTGTATCAGGCGCATCGATATTTTGAACCTTGGTTACTAGTAAAGGTGAGATTCTTGTAGCAGACAGTTCCTTCAATATATGGGGTAGTTATTGGTAAAGGTACGGACAAGATGGGTCTTCCACTTTCCTTCATCTGTTTTTCCCCTTTTGAACTAAATTATTTGGGTTATATAGCCTTTGATCCTCACCAATGTTTTCAACCCATTGTTGACCTAGTTGGTCAGACCAGTTGACCCCATTACTTGGTCAAGAACCGTTTAGCCCGGCCTATTCAACTGTCGACTTGTTCAACCCGATCACCGAGTTGCAGGTTGCACATGCAATGTATGCAAACTTTCAGAGGTCATAACTTTGCATCTCGATGTTCGATTGGGGTGATTTTTTTTTTATTTTGGGTAATTTTTTTATATTTATGCGTTCCAAGGACCGTAGGTGCCTTGCCACGCTATTTTTGAGTTAAAAATAAAAATACATATAACATATCTAAAACATATTCATACATTATTTATTAATAAATATATATATTTATACATATATACATATGTATATAATTATGATTTCGGATCAATGGTTCAAACRGTTTGAACCATTCGACCTGGTGACCTGCAACCTGGAGGCAAAAACGGTTTGGCCTTCGGGTCAATTTTTAGAACATTGGTTGATGCACTCGATACCAAAATTTTCAGTATTGAGCCATTAAAAGAATTGATACTCTTTGCTTATTTAAGCTTATGTCAACCATTATTTTTGCACCATTGTTGCAGTCTTAAAGTTGTATTTGAAACTTGGCAGATGTTCCAAATTTCTTGACATATCCCAAGTTTAAAAATAGATACATATAATACGTTATGATACTTGTAATATTTTGAACCTTGAATGCAACATGTATAATGCATTCATGTCAAAGTGTCCTTATTTTCCTGAGTGTTTTCACCAGCATTTTATGGCATATCTATTTTGGGAAATTGTCTAAAACTCACCATCACTTTTCATGAATTCTCTTAAACTCACCATAACTTTTCAAGTTCGATCCATTTAACAATATCCCAAAATTAACCCCATCGTTTGAACAAAATCCTAATAGTTTGAACAAAAGAGAACCATTGCTGCTGCTTCTCCCACTAAGAACAAGACTGGTCAAAACGAAACCAAGTGTAAGAAAAAAAAACAATGGTCACCATTGCATCCAACTAACATTGCAGAAAAAAACTACTAAAATGATAAAAGTTTTCAAAAAAAAATAGACAAAAATTAGCCATTGCATCCAACTAATATTGCAAGAGATTTTCAAAAAATATTTCAGAGAATTACATAAAAAATTACAAAAATATTTTTGCATAAATTTGCAGAGCCCTCGGTGGGGATTTGCATTCCATATTCAAGTTGCAAAAAAAATTACAATACATATTTACATATTTACATATTTCAAAATATTATAAATCTTTAGAATTTCTGATCATTCACAACTTCAAACTGGATATAGGAGCGAGTGAGAGAGGGATAGTGGTGGTGTGGCAGCAGTCGAAATTGAGATCTAAGCAAGAGAGGGTGGTGCAATGGCCGGAATCAAGATCTATGTGAGAAAAGATGGTGTGACAGCCGGAATCGAGATCTGAGAAAGAGAGAAGTGGAGTAGCGTCCGAAATCGAGATCTGAGCAAGAGAGGGAGGTGTAGTGGCTGGAATCAAGATCTAAGAGAGAGAGAGAGAGAGAAAGAGAGAGAGAGAGAGAGAGAGAGAGAGAGAGAGAGATGGCTAGAATCGAGATCTGAGCGAGAAAAGATGGTGCAGTAGCCAGAATCGAGATTTGAGCGAGAGAGAGGGTGGAGCGGCAGCCGAAACCGAAATTGGAGTGAGAGAGGATAGTGCGGTGGCTGGAATCAAGATCTAAGCAAGAGGGTGGTGTGGTTGCCATAATTGAGATTTGAGCGAGAGAGGATGGTGCAGCATTCACCCACTATAGATCTGAGTGAGTTAACCAAGAGAGAGGGAGTCAGTTGGTGTCATCTGCCTTTTGAAGATTTGTGCACAAAGAGAAAGAGAGAAACTTGCAATGGCCGGAAGAAAAAGTGTGAGACTTGCAATGGCTGAAAGGTCTAAGGGAGCGAGCGAGAGAGAATTTCGGGAGAATCTAACCCTAAATGACACTTTTCCCTAACTCGTCAGTCAAGGGTAGTTTGGTCATGAAAATATTATTTATGCTGATGTGGATGACTTTTGTCAACGAACATTAACAGTGATATAACTGAAGGTGAATTTTAGAAAATAAAAACTTACTATATAGGGAATTTTTTACATTTTAAAAAGTTGTGAGTTTAAGAGAATTCGTAAAAAGTCGGGATGAATTTTAGACAATTTCTCATCTTTTTTGGTAGAAATTTTGTCACAGTTTTGGTGTGGCCATTATTATCATTATGGCTATACCATTCAATAAATGTTTTGTAAGAAGTTGGTCTATTTGAGTTGTTTTAAACTTGTAATTTTTGTGTGATAAATTGGTAATGAAATTATTGGCCCAATTTAAGGAATTTCAACGGTATTATTATATGATGAATATAGGTAATGTACTTAGAAATTTTATCAATTTATGGGAGGGTGGGCTCCATTTTTTTTCTACCAATACATGCTTCCAGAAAGCTTAGTATAGACAAGGACCATTGCTTGATGAAACAAAAGAGTAAAGAAAAATAAAATGATGTCAATTGCATTATTATTATTGGATTGTGCCGTTTAATAAATTAATTAGTACGAAAGAAAGACTAACTTTTCTGTACCCTAAACCCTATACCTTCAAGAGAGCCACAGATAACCAGACCCATGCCGTCATTGTCCAAATCTGAGATGTCCACCTTTGATACGAAATCATATCTCAAAATATATTGTTTGTGGTACAGAGAGAGAGAGAGAGTACTGAGACATATTTATCTTCGATCATATTGGGTGCTGGAAAGAAAGAAATGAAGGTACAAGGTTCACAAATATTACGCATCAAGTGTGGATCCTTAACCCTTGCATAACAAGGCCAGATAAGCAAAAATTCTGTTCATAGCATGTAGCCGCACATTAGGAATATCTCGTGTACATTTATGTTAAGTTCATTGTTCATTGCAAGATGTTTTTGATGTATGGCCAAATTCCTAGGATTGAGCAAAAAAATCGAAAAATTGAACCAATTGAAATCGAACCGAAAATTCAGTTAATCAAATCAGTCGGTTCAGTCCGGTTCAATATTTAAAAAAAATGAAGGTATCAAATCGGTTTCAGTTAATCAAAATAGAAAACCGGCGGTTAACCGAACTGACCAGTATACATATATTTATATATATTTTATGTATATTTATATTATATATATTTTATACATTATAAATTAATAAATATGCATTATATAAATATATATTATTTAATATTTAAAATATAATATTATATATATATATATTTCTAGTATTTTATTATATATTTATATATTTTTAATTGTAAATAATAAAAAACCGATGAACCAAATCGACAATTAACAGAATCGGTCGACTGATTAATCGATCGACTTTGATTCGATTTTGGTTACCGGTTTTCCAAAACAACTGATAACCTTGACTCGGTTTCAAAAATTAGCCCACGATTCGATTAACCGAACTATGAACACCCCTACAAATTCCCACACTTTCAGATTATGTGAGTTTTTGCTTGCAATTTTGCAAAGAATACCATCGCGTGGATAACAACGTAAGTATACATATATTAATCATGCACCAACCTATCAGCTAGATTGGCGTTTTGAGCACAAACTCTTAAATATTGAATTTATAAAAGTCAATACCATTTTTTATGGCAAGTGTTCATTTATATAAATATAATATATTTGCGTTTTTTGTTACAAGTTATCAATTTTAACTAACTTAAAGATTAAGTTGCTTAAAAAGCTAGACTAAACAATGAATATGGCATTGAGTCTTTTTAGATATCAATATAATTTAGTTATTAATACTGTCAACAAATCAATTTGCTAAGAAGTAATGTAATCGGTGCAGTGCTTAGGATTTCAAAATTAAATATTGAAATTTATGGAGAGAGGGAGAGAGAGATGATTGCTTTTATTTAATATTATGCTTGTTGATTTTGCTTTCTAGGATGCCATTTCCTCTTAAAAAATTTGAAGAAGAAATGAAGAGAGACGGAAAGAAAAAATAAAGCTTGTGAAGGGGTTAGTGGAAAAAGGAATGGTGGCAGCAAAAGGATGTGCAGAATGGGAGTGGGAACTGGGAAGTCTTGTTTTATGCAGTGTCTGCTTGTTGATCTTTTGTTTTCTACTTTTATATATATAGAATATGATTTTGAGTGGGTAATGGCATTAGTGGTAAAGAGGAGCCTGTCCACCAAAATAATGCATCCATGATTGTGATGTTGACACCCCAAAATCCAAATAAACAAACAAAACTCAACCATGTTGGATGGACCGCGATATACACGTGCCTGTGGGACTCCATCTCGTTTACATGGACCACACCAAACCATACACAACCCTCTGATCTAGACTGGATTAGTTGGTGGACCTGTGCCTCATTTCGCTTCCAGTGTCCCCACTTCTGTAGGTGCATGCAGTGCATCAGTTCCACTGGAACTATACTAATTAATTCCTGCTCTACATGCCTACAGCATATATAGCAAATATTTTCATTTAATTAGTCTTGATAATTAGAGAGAGAGAGAGAGATGGCTTGTGGGAGGAGTATCTTAGCTTCAAAGCTTAATTATCTTTTCTTGTAGTCGGAGTAACATCACCACTTCTGGTTGGGTTGGGACTTGGGCTCTCCTTCCTCATGTATCATCACATCACATAGCTACGCCTCTCCAATCTTGGTTTCCATGCAGGTCGAAATTCATGGAAAATAGAAAGGGGCATATTTGTCATATTTGAAGATTCCTCTCCTAACGTGTGTTTAACATTTCTCTTTCTTTGGGGAGCCACTCATTTACAGAGATCTATGCATACCTAACATTAGTTTTGCTTTTACTTAACTTGGATTTAGTTTGGTTATTTAATTTGTCTCCATTTCAAGTAATGGAAACTTAGAAAAGGACCCCACCACATTAATGAATGTAATTGTTTTTCTTTTCTTTTTTTCCCTTATTCTAAGCTGATCTAAGTATAGGTTATTATTAACTTTCCGGTCCAGGTTTTGTTCTTTCTCTTTAAGTTGTGCCTCTCTCTCTCTCTCTCTCTCTCTCTCTCTCTCCTTTTCTTTGGCAAAGTTTGCTAATATCAAAAAAGAGTTAGAAAGCAGGGAGTTCTCCCAAGTCCAGATATTGAACCAAATAAACTACTCTCCTATAATACTGTTAAGTTATGGACACCCAACAGTATTCAAAGAAAACAGAGAAAGTTGCAGACAAAGGAGGAGGAGAAGCAGCAGCAGAAGGAAAATCAAAGCAAGAAGTAAAAGAAGACCAGTCAACAAATCAGAAAACATCCAGTACTACATCCAATTCTTCTCCGCCTTCAGCTTCTTCCTCTCCTTCTCATGAATTCTCCTTCACAATCTCTCTCCGTCCCCCTTCAACAGTACCAGACAAAACCAAGCCCGCACCTTCGTTTGCAATCGATTTGTCTCCAGCCGACGATATTTTCTTTCATGGACATCTCCTGCCTCTCCACCTTTTGTCTCATCTTCCCATCTCTCCCCGTTCCTCCACCAACTCCATTGAAAGTTATAATCCTCCCGTCACAGGTTTGTTAGAAGACGGAAAACCCAATAACATCATCAACAATAGCAACAGCAACCAAAGCACCGGCAACAACAGTAACAGCAACGATAACAACAACAACCGCAGTAGCAACAACACCATCATCAACAATAGTCATAGTAACAGTACTAGTACTAGTGCGACAAAAAGAAGAAGCAAGCCAAAGTCTTTCAGCTCCTTGTTTGGACTTGCTAATAAATGGCGAAAAGGGTCTGAGATTGGAGAAAGAGAGGATGAAGAGGACGAGAAAAAGAAGAAGAAGAAGCTGAAATTCGATGTGAGTCATATTTTAAAAAGGTACGTGAGAATGGTTCGACCACTGTTGCTCTTTGGAAGTGGAAAGGATAACCGGCAACATCGTAGGCAGCCTTACTCGTTTTCAGGTAATTTAAATTCGAGGGGGAAGCCAGAGTGGAGGGGAAGAAGAGGAGAATTCTCAGCTCCGGCGTCCATATGGACGTCTCCCACCAACAGTGGTCATCTTGTTGCTACACAGGCTTTTCATTCTCCATCAAGCGATAGCAGCATGGAAGAGCTGCAAAACGCAATCCAGGCTGCAATTGCGCATTGCAAGAATTCCATCGCGATGGAGGAGAAACTCAAATGCTGATCAGATTATATTGATGAAGATGAAAATTTTTCAATTCTCTCCATTAATTCGGTATTGCTTTCCTTCATTCCCTTCTTGCTGTATAGAGTGTATTAATTAAAACGTAGTACAAAAGGAATTCGAAAGATTGATATTATATATCATGTTCATGAGACCGTTTCTGAGCTCTTTTCTTTCATGGAAACGTAATAACGAGTTCTGCTTTCCATTTGAAAATCTAACTGCAGTATGGTCAGGTATCTCCAATAACACTACTGTTGGTGTTGGTGGCTTGGTGCAGTCAAAACTCAAAAGTACTTTTTTGATAATTGATTTGGAAAGCTCTCTCAACCATTGAGTTTTTCATTTTTTACTTTAATTAATAATTACTTTGTCCACCCCCACGGCCCACGCTTCCAAATAAAAGAAAGGAAAGAAAATTTAAAATAGCAGCAGTCTTCTCTTCTAACCATGGCCTGAAACTCATCGTTCTGAGCTTTCGTTTCAGTTCATCTAAGTAAACGCAACAAACGAATCCTATCTACAATTAATACCACCACCACGACGGTTTTCAATGCTAGCAACCAGTAATACTGTAAAACGATCGAGTTGAGACAATATCTTCATTGTTGGGCTTACGTACCCAGGAAAGTGATGAAGATCAATTTCAGGCCATGTATTGTAGCTTTAAGCTGCATCCACATATATTTTTGCGTAGGTTAAAGTGTAACCCCCGACATTGACAACCCTTCAATCGAGCTCGTGATTATATGGGTCCAAACCCTTTTGACTGCCTAGGATAAATTCGTCCACCTAGATACTCTCAGACAAAGCAGGAATCTTCCATATGGCAGAGTCGGTGGCAGCCCAAAAAGCTGGTCCTTGCATTTACCATCTCAACAAGTTTTAGCGGTCCCCACCACGTGGCAAAAAGACAGCCTTTTCTGGGCATTCTACCAATTGGCAATTTGATGACTCAGCAAGTAGAATTACGACAGAAAGAGTCCAATGCATGCTTTAAGCAGGGAGCCAATGAAGACGGGGAACTGACCATGTGACCAGCTTAGTGGGGCGCCTCTACTCTCTAGTGGTCGACGGTCTGATAAAATGGTTGCACCACCCTTCCCCTCAAATGAAACCCCCAATTGGGGTAGGAAAGGGATAATGAGCCATGAACGACGACGACCCACATACAGAACCTTATCCCTCACATGACTACTACATGCATGATTATAACTCTGCATTAATTTTAGTGCATTAAATTGGACGATGGAGGAAATTCTGTATTGTTGAAGCTTCAAGAGCAATGGGGCTACCAAAAGGGAGAGAATCCTTTGGGATTCCATGCCTGTGGGTCTCCCGATGATTTGATAGATCTGGAATTTACAGAGATAAGTACCAAATACAGCTCCTCCAATAAATAGAAGGAATATGATGATGTCTCTGTTAATGGAGAATATAAGTTATAATAATGATATGAGCAATTGAGTAGCTCATTTCTCCTACCAGTACCCTGTACCAATGCCCTTCTTTATTATTTTTATATTAGTATCTCCCTGAAAACAATGCCCCACTCCACATGGAAATGCTTTCCATCCTTTTTGCAGCTTCACTTTAGAGACCTTAGAACAGAGTTGAGAAACATAATAATGCCACCTCCTCCTTCGTGTAAGTCTGAAACATTTATTGAATGGGCCTTGCAGACCTACCGCTCTTTTCGTCGCATTGGAATTTGGAACTGAATGTTTGTTCCAACCACCAATGAAAGTCACGGGATGGAGAAGAATGACGACCAGTGGGCTCAAATAATATAATGTTAACCTCACATAAAACTATGACCCATAAGTTAAATTCCAGAGATGCAAGTAAATCTCCCTTCTCCCCTATCTGTAGCAAGAGTCAGAAGGGAAAACAACACACAACAGAGAGCAAGCAAATCAAAGGAAATAATATCACAAGTGTGCATCAGAAAAGGTTCAACCGTATTCCTACACATGGTAAGGTAATCCATTGCTTTTTGCAGCTTCACATCAAGATGCGGTAGGTAGGGAGTCCTATCAAGGTCAATTCTCCTCAAGACTCAAGAGGACAGATCCCCGTCCATCAGTCTCAAATGTTGAAGTTTACCTTCCAATGGGTTTCTATTTCTAACCTGAACCAGGAAAAGGGTGAAAGAAAAAACGAAAGATGATGAATGAAAGAGTTTCCACCTTGCCGACTTAAAAAATCTTCCGATGATCACGAGTAGATCACTACCCCACGGAAGGACTTCTTACAGTAAATAATGGGGACTGAAAAGGGTAGTTGGCTCTTGGCTCCTTCATGGGTGATCTTTTTCCCGGAAAATTTATCTTCTCCAATCATCAGCCAAGTACAATTGGAGATGCAAATAAGAATACGTTACAGGTACTTTCAAGGTACGTAAGCACTCCAAAAAAAAAAGTCAATAGGTGAATATCAGTTGCTTGAGTAAGCAATAACTAAACGATTTTAAGTTCTTTGGATGCTGTACAACAACAGATCATATGAGCTGGGTTTTGACCTCAAGGAGTTTTGATGGCGTTAAACAGGATCACTTTAGAAGATACTGGGAAAGAATCATCTTTTATCGGTCTCTTCCATTATAAAAGGGCATTCTTGCATTCGAGTAGGCAACAAGATTTTCTTTTTTTTTTTATGTAAACCGATCTTTCTGGTTCAATATATTAACCATTCATACGAGAGAGAAGATTAATTCTACAGTTACGTAACATAACCCAATCAGATGTTTACATAATTTGAAAGTAAAATATAGACAATCAATCGATTTAAATTTACTGATCAATAACCTATAGTCTAATTTGCAGGAACAAAAAAATAAGCATGTCAAGCGGAAAACAGAGCAATGCTAAGCTTGCAAATTTGCTTTCTTCTACACCTTATAAATGAATTCACTACATACCACATATCCGGAATTTTATGTCAGTTTGAGTGTGTCTCCCTTGTCAGTCATGTGGATTCCATATATGATATTCCAGATTTGTGGCCTATAATTTATAAGGTATACAAGAAAAATATGTGCTCAGCATTTTACACAGAGAATGTACTGCGTGGATAAATTTCATTAACATCCACAATATTGGATACAAAATATGGATACCTAAAAGACAAATTATCAAATCCTGAAGTGGATTAAATCTTACAATCAGAGAATAGATGCTTTAACATTGTTAGGAATGGATATAATGTCCTAAGAGTAATCTGTATTGAACAGATGTTTCCATGAACAAATGGAAAAAATGTCATGTCTCAATGGCATTTCATTATCTATTATCTTGGGCCCAGGAAGGAAAAACTGGGGCAAGGATCAAATAATCCCATGTCAGGCTCAATGGTCATGGTATGCCAAGTTGCCTTCTACCTTTCGGGTTTCTTTCTCACTGTCTGGTTGATAAAATGCTGAATATTTGAAAATATTCTTAATTATCAATAAAAGTTGGATGCACTGTTTTGCATATGATGATAATTGACAGTAATGATGAAGAAAAGCTCCACAGAAAATGGTTTCTTAATACATATACCCTGCTTACCAAAAAAAAAGAAGAAGAATTTCAGAAAACAAATGCATCTTTACCTGGTCCTTTCCTGTATTTCATTTGTTTGAATGTATCCAACTTTTCTTGTATTTTGACCAATATGCCAAATTTATAACTATGGTCAAACAGATTTTCTCCCTTGAGGCCTGTGGCTTTTTTCAGAAACTGATATCTATTGATAATTTAGACAGGCAGAGTGGTTTAGACACTCAGCCTATATGTTGATAATTTAGACATTCTTTCTTAAGCCCCATCACTTATTATGAATTATGATGCATTTGCAAATAAACTATTATAATCTGAATTAAGAGTACTGCCATACAGACAAAGGCAACACATTCAATACACAGACTAAGAAAGAGGGATATACAAAGATTTCTTAATATTGGCCCAAGACCCTAGATAGCTGGGACAATTATTGGGTAATTGCCCTCTCTGGTTTCACTAACTATCCATTTTAGAGAACTAGAGGTTCACTTGTTTATAGCAAGCCTTGCTTTCATGAGTGACTGTGTAAGAATGTTTTTCCTTTCTATTTCTACTTGTTGCTACCATTCCAGTAGATACAATTTTAAAAGGGGTGAAAAAGGAAAAAAGAATTTGTAACAACATAAGAAAAATCAAGAATCATCAACACAACACAAATATTGATCTCCCAATTAGACAACACACATGGTATACCTTGCAACTATTTGGGGTGAGCTACATGGATTCCATTCCACTGTTGCACTCTATCAAGAGCCATATAGACCCATTTTAGTTTGCAAAACTCCTAGACATGGCTCTTTCATTTCACCAAACATGAAAAGACACAACTCAACCTGCACAGGCAATTCAATTGCAGATACCACATAAATATGAACTCATTTAGAGAAGAAAAATACCCAAACAAATATGAGATGCAATATACGAAACAATTCTAAATACAACAATGTGTAACGGAATAAGCCTCATGTAACAATGAAAGGGAAATACCTACCACACATAAAATGTACCAGTCCATGGAACAACAAGAAATATACCAGCCATATATTATTTTCTCATGCCTTTACCTCTACGTTACAAGGATATGGGCACATGTATCGAAATCTGACAAGTGTACAAGTTAACAGTCTTGGTAAGCCAAACAAAATAGGATTCAGAGCCTCAGCAGTGTTTCAGTAACTCAGAAGTTTTCTTATTAATTTTTGAGAAAGAATGTTTAAATGTAAGCATTTCAAGAATACCAAAGGAATCTAGGCTAGCTCTGCTACCTGACCAATTAGCACCCTTATATTTGACTACATTTTGCCTTAACTTTTCTTTTAGTCTCCCTAGGAATGACCCCCAATACAGTTGAGTCCTGATGGCCCCTTGTTTAACCAGTTCATCTGCCATATGGTAAGCTCATCTTTGAGTCCAAGTGAAAGTATCTACCATTTCTCCAGATAGCTAGGTGTCTTACTTATGCCTGTATTGCCAAGGCCCTGAACTATTTATCTTGAACCACCCAACAATTAAACTTGAATCCCCTTCCACCAACAACCCTTGAGAGATTTTCCAAGACTCAGCCCTTGGAGTGCTGCCAATAGTTTGGCACTAA